TAGCCCACCACCAAGTAGGTTCTGCAGGAAGCACAGTTCAGAAAGACAGTTCCATCTTTAAAAAACACTCAGCATTTTGAACAAACAGAGTAAAGGTAGTTTTGGAAACTCATAACTTAATTCTTAGCATAAATTCTGGCACGATGTTTTTTTCTTTTCTCCTTGTGGTTCCTGGGATGGAATCCAAGGGCCTTGCACCTACTAAGTAAGGATTCTACACTGAGCTGGTCCCCAGGCCAAGGAGTGTATTAACTGAATACCTATTGGTATCAGGCATAGATGTACATCCTTATCATATAGCAACACATATCCAGCGCATGCCAACCCAGAATACAGTAAGTGCTTAATTCATTATTATTACTTATGGCAGAAAGGTTAAACTCTTAGCATGGAGGCCTGACCTTCCATCAGAGTAAAAATGGGGTCGGAACACAGAACTGCCTTGCCTCTCTCTACCAGCTTGATGACTTAAGCATAGTCCTCTTACCTCTGAGAGCTTACATGACTTGTTCAAGATTACCCACACAGTAAATTTCTGCATGGGCTGAGATTCTTGCTCCTCAGTCTCTTATTGTACAAGATATCTAGGAACTCATCACGTGGGTAATTCTAGTTGTAGACAACCAGGCTTATCCCTACATGCCCAATGCACATTAACCAGGGTCACTGTTGTAAATACCAAATTTTGAACATAAGGCAGTAGATGGGAAACTCAGAGAATCTGGCCTTCTGACTCATCTGTCCTATCATTTAGACCAGATTAAGTTGAGTGTGGTGGTTCATGCCTGTAGTCCCAACACTAAGTAGGATCAAGAATTCAAGGCTACCCTCGAGATCCTGTCTGACCACCGCCCTCCTCACTAGATTAATGCCCACCGTGAGGTTAAATAGCAATGAGCGACTACTCATGCCACCTCAGCCCTCCATGGACCTGAGTATACACCCGGTTCATCTACATCTCAGTGTCTGGAGGTGGCTCAGTTGTCCTGGGGGGTGGGTATTGTCTTGCTGCCTCCTCTTCTGAAGGGCACTCAGTGACCAGAGTACCTTTCTCTGAGCTCTAGCCCTCTCGTCCCACTTGCAATACAAACTTAAATGCTTAGCTTAACTCTGTGGCTGTGACCTGAGTACCTGTACCAAAGGAAGAGATTTAGGAGGTTGGGGAATTTTTTTTTTTTGTAGTGCTGGGGCTTGCAATCAGGGCTTGCTAGCCAGGGACTCCACTGCTTGAACCACACCTCCAGCTCTTTTCTCCCCTCCCTTTTCTCAACAGGGCCGTGCTTTTTGCCCCAGGCAACCTAGTCAGAGATCCTTTTTTTACACCTTCCCTTGTAGCTTGGATGACAGACACACACCACCACACCAAGCCATTTGTTCAGATGGGGTTTTGAGAACTTTTTTTTGCCAGCTGGCCTGGAACCATGATCCTCCCAATCTCAGTCTCCTGTATAGCTGGGATGACAGGCGTGAGGCTGAAGAAACCTTTTTTGGTATGTGATACTTGTGTACTTCTGGTCATTCTGGAAGGATGAAGACCCCAGAACCCTCCAAACATGGGTCGCAAGAGAAGACTTTTTACCTAATAATAGCTTTATCTTTTACTTAAGAACTGTAGCGTCTGTGTGTGTCTGCATGTGTGTACGTGTGTGTGCTTTAAGGGCAGAGAAAGAGATTTTATCATGCGGCATGGGCATGCCACGGGAAGAAAGCACTTCAGCCCATCTTCCAACAACTATGTTTTTTTCAAAAGTGTTTAGAACTTGAAAAAAGAGTTTGGCTCAAGGCTAAATCAACTGGGACTAGAGATCTTAAAACAGGCTACAAACATGGCCAAATGACACTATAAAAATGAAATTCTTTCAAAGATAACACTGATAAGGACTCAGACAATATTTAGCATTAAATTATGTTAATTATAAATTCTATAAAAAGTTTAAGGACTTACTCACTGCCTTAACTGTTTTTTCCTTTTCTTTTTTGCTGTGCTGAGCATTGAACCCAGGGCCTTACACATGCTAAGCAAGTACTGTACAGCCCTGGTTCCTCACTGAATTACTGTTTTTTTGTGTGTGTGCCAGAGAGGTTTGAACTCCTGATTCACTGTTAAGGAATTTTCTCCAAATAAATTTTGGAAAAGCATCCCAAAAATCTCAGATGAGTTAGATTTTAGGGCCCTGATCATGCATCTAAGAACACTAAACCAAAAAGCCAATCTGGTTTTGGTGTGTCCAGTTAATGATATATTGCTCCCTCCCCTCATATAAGGCAGGCAGAAGATGGTTCCACTGTGCAAACAGGAAATCTAGAACTCTAGAGAATTATTACATATCATGAGTCTTGTTTATAGCAGAATTTGGTGGCCCTGTCTGGCTGCCTCCTTCACTCTCTGAACTACAAACTTAGAGGGATACTGTGAAGCTTAAGGCCTGGAAAGGGAGTTACTTACAGTGATTTCTGACATCCTTCATTACTTCAATTGTGTAATTCTATTATGCTTATTATTTTAAAACAGAATTCCCTGGTTTTGTCTAGGCTTGCTTCCACTTGAGATTTCTATGGAAAAGTCTGGGATCTCTATGGAACACTGAGTTCTAAAGATGGTCTTGTGAGGGTGTTGTGAAGTCCGGATGAGAAGAGGGGTCTTACTTCCTGTATTACTTTAGACAGCATCAAGCTCTGGAACTGAGAGCAAATTCAGAGGTGTTGTTAGTCTTTCAACACACATGTAAGAACTACGATTACTTTTTTTTCTCCAACTAAATCATATTATTTCAACTTCAGGTTTGATTTTGGAAAAAAATTCTAGTAAATGTCAGTATCACCCTCAGAGCAAGCTTCTCTTCTAGTGGAAACTGAAGTCAGAAAATCAGCACACCAACCTGATGGCATTCAATACTGAATCTGTGGACAAATACAACACTAGAAATTATGTCATAAGGACTTTACCTATACCCATAAATGTGGAAAATGCCTTCACCCAAAAAAAAAAACCTTTTTTTTTTTTTTTTTAACTAGTACTGGAATTTGAACCTAGGGCCCCATGCTTGCTAGACAAGCTTTCTACCACTGGAGCCAGCCTTTTTTCTTTTGCAGTACTGGGGTTTGAATTCAAGGCCTACACCTTGAGCCACTCCACCAGCCTTTTGTGATTTTTTTTGAGATAGGGTCTCGTGAACTATTTGCCTGGGCTGGCTTTGAACCAAGATTCTCCTGATCTCTGCCTCTTGAGTAACTAGGATTACAGGCGTAAGCCACCGGTGCCCTTGAGCCAGCCTTTAATTTCTTTTTCTCCCATCCATCAGGAGACAGGCCCTAAAATTACAGCAGTGTCATGTTATACCTATGACAAACGTCTTTTGGGTCACCTGCAGCTACAGAGGTTCAGTAAGCCTGGAAAACAGGCAAATGGCTGCTCCCTTACTGATAACACAGACCAGATATGAGTAAGTGCTAAGAAAGGCTGGTCTCAGAAAGGCTGGCTTCATCTACTGCATTGCTCCCAAGAACTGGAAAAAACCTAACCTACTAGCCAGACAACTTCATTCAACTGGAAACAAAGAGGTGATTTAGCTAAAGCCTTAGTGTTAATTAGTTACAAACTCAGAACAAGAATTCCTAGGTACCACACAGGACCTTAACCAGATCTGATATTCTCCAAAACATTTCATCGGGAGCTTTTGTAGTAAATGTAGTTAATCCATTGAGGGATGCTTATGCAGGGGTGCCCAGAGCCACCCTCAGGACCAGCAGCTTTGTGGTCTGGGACTGGTAAATGGAGGTGGCCGCAGGGAATAGAGGTTAAGGCTTGGGTGTCCTGAGTCTGATGCCCAGGGTTGAATTACACTTTCTAGTAGTGTGACTGCATGAGTTACTCCATCCCCTTCTGCCTCAGTCTCCTTAATTATAAATCAAGGACTGTCATATTTAAATGAGATAACATAATGCCAAGTGTTCATCCAGCAGGCTGGTCCAACACAAAGCAAACACTCAGAAAACGTTAGCTTTTAATACCACCAATACAGTCCAAGGTTACTGATAATGCACTGAACCAGCATTGCTTATTGGGACAGTCAAACTTGGCTAATTTTTGATCACCACTAGAAGACCTGAGAGATGGAATTAGGGAGGGCTGAAAAGTCTAGACCCTGAAGCGTGGACATGACTGGTGAGCCCTGTGACCTGACCTCGGAAGCCTTTCCACTCTTCATGCCAGATCTCAACTGCAGAGACCTGCAGACGAGTCATTGCGAAAGGAAATGGAGCGGAAACGCACAGGTGCCGGACAGTGGGAGACTCTAGCACTCGTTTTTATTCCGCGGGGATCCAGGGTGAAAGCCCTTGGCCTGGACGCTGAAACCGTGGTCAGCAGGGCGCCACTTCTTCCTCCTCTGCGGCCCTGCGGTCCAGGTCCGGGAGGCAATGCCTTCCACTTGTGGACAGCCACTCAGGGGAATGGAAGCGGGCACGAGATGCTTGCCTTTGAGGCTGTACGTCCCCGTGGGAGACTCGGGGGAACCGGACGGAGCCTCGGGGAAGCTGCCCGACGGCCTTGACCTTGGTGTCCGAGACTCAGTTTGCCATCTTTGCTGGCTCGGGGCGATGACACTGCCTCTTGGCCAGGGCAGGTATGTGGGCCGGGTGGGATGCAGGGTCCCGGGGGCTTGGGGACCCAACTTCAAGTAGCCCCACCCCGGGACCTCGGCAGGTGCGGGGCCTCTGGTCCTAAGGGGCCACCGCGCACGCGGCGCACCGGTCCCCCCGGGCTGGGGCAGAGGCCGACCCCGGCACCCCGGCTTCCCCGCACCCCGGCACCGGGGCGGGAGGCTCGGCCGGTGGGGACAGCTCCGACTGCCCGCAGGCACGCACGTCGGCGGGGTCACGCGGCCTCCGCGCCGGGCCGTGGCCGACAGGGACAGGGCGGAGCGGGGGTCGGCCACTCCGAACGTCCCGAACGACCCGGCTGGGCCTCAGCCCCGACGGCACCCCGCTGCAGGCCTCACCTCCCTGCGCACGTTCAGCAACGAGTAATAGTCTTCATTATCCAGCTCCTCCTCGCTCAAGGCCGTCGCCATCTTCGCAACCTTTCACCCCGCCAAACCGGTAAGGCCGTGCTCAAGAGGGCCCGCCGACCCCGGGCGCTGACGGCGCGGGGCCCCGGCTGCGCCACAGCGGCCCCTGGCGGCACGGAGCCGCACGCCCGCACGCTCGTCTGCCCGCGGGACCGCGCCTGCGCATTGCGCCCCCGCGCGGCCGAGGGCGGAACCCCAGATCCTCCACGTGCAGCCCGCAGGCTCCCAGCACCCGTTGACCAACCAGGCCCCTCTAAGGCTTTTCCCCAACTAGTAAGGGAAAGTTTAAGCTTGGTGCGGATGGCTCAAGGCTTTAATCCTAACTACTTGGGAGGCTGAGATCAGGAGGCACAGTGTTCGAGGCCAACCTGCACAAATAGGTCAGAGACCCCCCCCCCACCAAAATAACCAGATCAAAATGGACTGGAAACTGGCACAAAAGTGCCAGCTTTGTAAGCATGAAACCCTGAGTTCTAACCCTGGTTCCACCAAAAAAAAAAAAGGAAAAGTTTAAAGTCCTACTTGTAGGGAGACATGCAACACCACCCGTGTCCCCAACCCTAAGGAAGGAGTACAAGACATCCCTTGTGCAGGGTCACCCCCTCCCTGATATCCCCACCCCTGGAGAGTACATCCTGGAGAAAGGCTCCCGGTGGCCTCAGTTGCTGACTTGTGTTTGCACAGGAACCCTCCAAAATGAGAATTATACCACTTCCTTGCCTTTTCTCTTGGCCACCCAGAAACCTTCCTGTCCAGAGAATAGCCCTCCACATTTATGTTTTGTTTTTTTTAAATTATTGTTCTATATTTAGGAACACCTGGCTATCTTTTCTGCTGTGTAAATGAGGAGGCAGTACTCATCAGGTTCTTCCCATAATTGCCTCTGGCATGCATACATACCAACAGTTCCTACCCCAGAGCTGTAAACTTCTCCCTTATAATTTAGCAGTGGAGTCTAATTGATTTCAACCTGCTGCCTGCTGTTTGGTGCATTATTAAAGATGTCTTGGTTACAATAATCTAAATAATTTAAGTGTCTTCAAAAATGATGCCCTTAAGAAGAGAAGGTGGGCAGCAGCTCCTACTCTTGCCACCTGTTTGGTTCCCACTGACCTGTACTAATTCTTCATCCTTTCTCAGAAAGCTTTGTTGTTCTTAACTAACCAGTTCACCACCCCCCAGGGGCTGGGGGAGGTGCTCTTCATGAGCAGTCTCGGGGGAAGCCCCAACACCTGTCTGTGGATTTGAAAAGTTGATTTCTTTCTCTTCCTAATTTTTGGACAGATGTGCACCATCTGGGCCTGTGTATCATCCCTTCCAAGTTGCCTGGTTCTCTTAGGATCTTTTGGCATGAGACACTGAGGAGTGCTGAGACAGGTCGTTCAGGAGCATCGAGCCAGGCTGTCAGCCCCGGTTGTAAATTAAGAACTAGTTCTTTAGCTATTTGAAGCTTCCTTGCAATGGCCCCCACAGTTGCTCATGCTCCATCAGCTATCTACCAATTTTTATGGGCTTTTCTTTTTTCTCCTTTGCAGAGCTCGGTTACGGCTAAACTGCATACTGACATTTGCTGGTCTTTGAGAATTTCATACAGAGAGACTGGGAAAAAACCTACAATGTAGAAAGGTTCTTTTTTCCTTAGTTTTGTAGACATTAACTCAGCTGTGATGCTCACTTGGGTAGAAGAGTTCTTTGCCATCCTTCCTTTGCTTGGAAAGCACAGCCTCTAGAAATTACATAAATGGAACATAACATATGTTTCACTACACCCAGGTCTGTGTTTCTGTGATTGAGAGTGACCTGGTTTTTATCACTACTCAGACAAAATAAATAATGACTCAGGGATGCTCTGTGTCTGTCCTCTCTCAGGCCCACGATATTTTGTGTTGTGGTCCCTTGGAAAGTGGTTGTGATAAATGAAAAGCTAGCTTCGATACACCACAGACCTGGGGAACATATTTATTTCAGAGGTTGACTCTTTTGTTTCTCCCTTCCAAAAACCTAAATCTGCAATGGGCAAAATAATGGAAACCAGGGGCCATACAAATTTATAAGTTAAAAACACACATCCAACACTCCACTCAAGCCAGAGCATCTGACAAAATCCTGCAACTTAAACTCAGGGCCTTGCACTTTCTGTGTACTTCAGCTGTAAAGCAAAACCTAATATACTTGTGTCATATATCTATGTAACTACAGATGCATAATTCAGAGGTGCATGTATCTATCTGTGTGTAGATACTCGTGTACCTATGGTTGGCAATAGATACTTGTGTCTGTACAATTGTTGAATTTGCTTATTTTTAAACAGTATGTATAAGGAGGGCTTTTAGCTCTACCATCATTCATATTCAGAATGAACCCCACACATTTTGGCTCCTCTGTGTAGACACTCAGGAAGTCCCTTCTGTTTGGTGGCTCAGCCCAGTGCCGGGTCCTCCCTGCTAACAGGCACACTGGAGACACAGTTACCAGATTAAATACAGGATGTCCTGTTAAATTTGAATTTCAGATAAACGAATAATTTTGTAGTACAAGTGTACTAATATGACGTGGTGGGATATACTTGTACTAAGTCGTTGTTGTTGATCTGAAATTCGAGTTCAGCAGGGTGCTATAGTTTGGATTGGGACTGTCCCACGCCCATGCATTAAAAACTCGCTCCCCAGTGTGTGGAGCAGTGGAAACTTTGAGGTGTGGCCTTGAAGGAAGTCTTAGCTCATTTGGAGGGGGGGTGCCCTCAAAGAGTGTGGGACCCTGGTCTCTTCTGTCTTTTACTTCTTGACTGCTCTGAGGTCATCAGGCTCCTCTGCCACACACTCATGATGTCCCCACACAGGCCCAAAAGCAATGGAGCCAACCCACCTCGGACTAACTTTCGAACTTTTTGCCTGAGCTGGCCTTGAACAACAATCCTCCCAATTTCTGCCTCCTTAGTAGCTGGGATTACAGGTGTGAGCCATCACACCTGGCCCTTTCATGTTTTTATTATTCCTTTGTCACTGATTCCAGGATGGGATTTAGTGCTTGTTTGCCATTTTTTCCCCTTCTTCAAATCCCTCAGGAGTGCTGATAACCCTGCTAATGGAGATAGAAAGAAAAAAATCCTTAGCTAAAGGGAAGAAGATAGAATTTGCAGGCACTCAAGAATTAAATTCTCTTGATGCCATCTGACCCCCTGAGCATTCAGTGACTTCTCACTGACATCTTTAACCATGGTGTTAATTACAGAATGGTCACCCAGGAGAAGAGCCACATCTGTCTCAGCCCAGAGAGGCTGAGTTGGCTGGTTGAGAGCCTAACCCCAGAGGTGGCCTCAGGTGGCAGTGGAGATGTGGAAGCTGGGCAGGGATAACTAGATGTTTCTGGGAATCGCCAGTTATAGACCTTACCACCCTACAAAACATGCACCTCCACGATCTCCAGTTCAAAGCTTCTGCCTTCGGAACTCCGCATCTTACCTGCAGTGTCACTCATCCATTGTGTCTGCAGGACTGATTTGCCCTGCTGCTCGTGTGGGACTTTCGGTCCTTTTTCCAATGGGCCCTTCTGGAAGCTCAGTGACGGTAGTACTTTGATCTTTGGCCCTGCCCACTCCATCCATTCCCTGTTTGGTCTGCCTCTGTCATCTCCATTTCTCACTCCCCAGGCTGTCACCATGTGGCAAGTACCAAGTTCATGCTATCTGACATCTTCTGGTCCCCAATGTTACTTGGCAATTCATTTAATTTCACCTCTCTCTTTTTTTTCCCCCAGTACTGGAGTTTGAACTTAGGGCCAGGCAGGCACTTTAACACTTGAGTCACTCTGCCAGCCATGTTCACCTCCTTTTAACATCCTGTAAAATCGCCCAGTGTCTGCTTCACTTATCTCTTAAGTTTAAAGTGGATAAAGGAATAGGTGTTGGAGTTTTATCAGTTCACAAGCAATTGTGAATTAACACTCCTGTATGTGTGTGCGCGCACACACACACGTTCAGATGGCAGGCAATAAGGAAGAGATACTCAGTGATGCGGTCCTGACACATCTCAGATGGAGCAATATCAGTGGTGATGGCTGGCCAGGGAAGAGCTAGCTGAGGAGGGGATTTTGAACTGAATGATGGGAAAGACCGGCTCTGCAAGATGTGAAGGAAGATGCTTGCAGTGCAGAGGCTCTGAGACAGATGGAATTTGCCGAGCTGCAGGGCCAGGGAGAGAACCAGTGAGCTGGTGAGCATGCAGCTGATGAAGGTGGCAATAGTCAGAAAAGTTGTTGGAGAAGTCAAGCTAGGGTACATCACACAGGGCCTCATTAAAGGCAGTGGCCAGGAATTTAAATTTTAGTCTGAGTGCAGTGGGGAAGCGTTGAAAGATTTTGGATTGGGAAGTGATAGAGTCTGACTCTCCCTACGAGATCACTCCAGGAGATCGCAGTAGAGGGACCAAGCCTGGGAGCGTTCCTCACCCCTGCTCCGTTAGAAGTTATTGCAGTGTTGAGGAGAGAGATGATGGTGGCTGCGGACCAAGGCAGGAACATGGGATGGTTAGGTATAGACTACTGATTTGCTATGATTTGGATGTGGTTTGTCTCCCAAGATTCAGGAGTTGGAAGTTTGGCCCCCAGTGTGGAAGCACCGGAACTGGTGTGGGACCTTTAAGAGGTGGGACCTAGTGACTGGAGAAGCGATGAGGTCATTGGGGCGCTCATCATTGTCATGAAGTGAGCCTGGCCCCTCCCCTGCCGTGCCATGTGATCTCTCTTCTCTCACAAGAGCTTCTACCATGATGCCATCTGCCATGATGTGATCGACCAAGGAGACCCTCACCAGAGTCAGCACAATGCTGTTTAGACTTTCAGCTTCCAAAACTGTAAACTAAGCTGGGTGCTGGTGGCTCATGCCTGCAATCCTAGTAACTTGGGAGGCTGAGATTGGGAGGATCAAGGTTTGAGGCCAGCCTGGGCAAATAGTTTGCAAGAGCCCATCTCCAAAGTAACCAAGGCAAAATGGACTGGAGGTGTGACTTAAGCAGTAGAGTGCCTGCTTTGCAAGTGTGAAGCCCTGAGTTCAAACCCCAGTCCCACCAAAAAAACAAAACACCCTGTGGAATTTCTTTGAGGGATGAGT